TTCCCTGCCACGAGTGGTCGGTGAAGCCCTTGAAAACGAAGGGTAACCGATAACGGGGGAGAATGAGGACGAAGGGATCGGAGGAAGGGAGGGGCGGGGCAAGAAGGAGGGAGGACGATGATTTGCGCTGCGAATGGCGAATCAGTTTGCGCCATGGCTTGCGCCAGTCACTCCAACACAGGTTACCAATAAGCTTCGCCATGGGTCGCGCCATAAACAGCACCACGTACCACCTCCTTGAAAGAACATATCGTGCATACCCCCACGGGGGGACGTATAGCTGCGAACTGGTGTCAGAAACAAATTTCGTGGAACCCTGAAAAGAAGCGAGATGTTGGGAATGTGGGGCGGAAGGATAGTGAGAACTGCAACCGTGTCGAGAGGAGCGCGGGGATGTGGAGTGGATTGGGATGGAGTGGACAAGAGTAGGGTCTCAGGAGGAGGAGCGGCAAGGAGTGGCCACAAATGGCAAGCAGAGCGACGAAGGGCAGCAGTGGGGCCACGAATGGCATGCATATGGGGCCAAGACGGGCGCGAACGAGCGGGGGCCACGAAGGGCATGCGCATAGGGGGCCGCAGAGGGCAGCGACGGGGCCACTGAGGGCAGAAACGGGGCCACGAAGGGCAGAGAGGGGGCCACGAAGGGCGACAGCGGGGCCACGAACGGCATGCATATAGGACCCCCACGGGCGCGAACGAGCGTGGCCACGAAGGGTAGATATGTATATATATATATATATATACATAAACATATACATATACATATACATATACACACACATATATGGGGCCAGACAAGGCGACAGCGGGGCCACTGAGCGCAGAAAATGGGCCACGAAGGGCAGCGAGGGGGCCATGAATGGCGACGGCGGGGCGACGAAACGCAAGCGTATGGGACCACGAAGGGCAGCGAGGGAGCGGGGGCCACGAAGGGCATTTAATCCGGGGCCACAGAGGGCAGCGACGGGGCCGCTGAGGGCAGCACCGGGGCCACGAAAGGCAGCGAGGGAGCCACAACGGGCGACAGCGGGGCCACGAAGGGCATGCATATGGGGCCACGACGGGCGCGAGAGAGCGGGGGCCAAGTTGGGCATACGTATATGGGGCCACAAAGGGCGACAGCGGGGCCACTGAGGGCAGCGAGAGGGCCACGAAGGGCGACAGCGGGGCTACAAAGGGCATGCGTACGGTTGCGAGGAAGTCCAAAGCGAGAGCGCGATTCTCCAATATACTGTGAGGAAGTATCAGGTGGGAACCGCGAGTCGGTGGTAAATTGCAAGGAAGTCCCAAGCGAGAGCGCGATTCTTCAATAAATTGTAAGGAGGTGTCAAGCGGGAGTCGTTGTTGGCGCGGGCCACGACGGGCGCGAACGAGGGGGGGCCCCGAAGGGCACACGTATAGGGGGCCGCAAAGGGCAGCGACGGGGCCGCTGAGGGCAGAAACGGGGCCACGAAGGGCAGAGAGGGGGCCACGAAGAGCGACAGCGGGGCCACGAAGGGCATGCATATGGGGCCACGACGGGCGCGAACGAGCGGGGGCCACGAGGGGCATACATATATGGGGCCAGACAAGGCGACAGCGGGGCCACTGAGCGCAGAAAGTGGGCCACGAAGGGCAGCGAGGGGGCCACGAATGGCGACAGCGGGGCGACGAAACGCAAGCGTATGGGACCACGAAGGGCGCGAGCGAGCGGGGGCCACGAAGGGCATTTAATCCGGGGCCACAGAGGGCAGCGACGGGGCCGCTGAGGGCAGAAACGGGGCCACGAAGGGCAGAGAGGGGGCCACGAAGGGCGACAGCGGGGCCACGAAGGGCATGCATATGGGGCCACTACGGGCGCGATCGAGCGGGGGCCAAGTTGGGCATACGTATATGGGGCCACAAAGGGCGACAGCGGGGCCACTGAGGGCAGCAAAGGGGCCACGAAGGGCAGCGAGAGGGCCACGAAGGGCGACAGCGGGGCTACGAAAGGCATGCGCATGGGGCCACGACGGGCGACTGCGACCGGCGGCCACGAAGGGCATATAATGCGGGGCCACAATGGGCAGCGACGGGGCCACTGAGGGCAGCAACGGGGCCACGAAGGGCAGCGAGCGAAGGCGACCGCGGAACCAGTAAGGGCAGCGAGGGGCATCGAAGGCGGGCGAAGGGCAGCGAGCGGCGACTGCAGTCCTCAACGGGCTGGTCGGGCGGGCAATCCCAGACGGGCGGGTCGAGCGGGCGGGTCGTTGAAACGTAAATTCTGCTTGAACCGCCAGACAATATGTAGCGGGAGCGCGATTCCTGAGTGTCGAGGCGCGGCATCTGAATAAATTGTGAAGAAGTATCAGGCGGGAGCCGCGATTCGGTGGTAAATTGCGAGGAAGTCCAAAGCGAGAGCGCGATTATTCAATAAATTGTGAAGAAGTATCAAGCGGGAGCCGCGATCCGGTGGTAAATTGCAAGGAAGTCCTAAGCGAGAGCGCGATTCTTCAATAAATTGTGAGGAAGTATCAGGCGGGAGCCGTTGTTGTTGTAAACCGGGGGCCAACAACACAGTTTGACCCTCAAGATTTTCCCTGATAAAAAACCGGGTGCGAGCCCCGGGGAGGGCACCTCAATCGAAAAAACAATGTGCACCGGACGGGGGGGATCTGCAATAATTATTCTTCAGAAATGAAAGTTCAACAGCAACAAGAACAAGAACAATAACAAAAACGACAACAACAACAATAACAACAACAACAACAACAACAACAACAACAGCTACAGCAACGGCAACGGCAACGGCAACAGCAGCAACAACAGCAAAAACAACAACAGTAACAATAACAACAACAACAATAACAACAACAACAACAACAACAACAGCAGCAGCAACAATAACAACAACAACAACATCATCAACAACAACAACAACAACAACAACAACAACAACAACAACCACAACCACAACCACAACCACAACCACAACAACAAAAAGCAATAGCAGCAGCAACAGCAACAGTAACAACAACAACAACGACGACGACGACGACGGCAACAACAACAAAAACGAAAAATCGTTAGAGACCTCGGATCCCAGGGACCAGCGCTACCTCGACAGACCCTCCTCCGACCTGAAGGGAAGGAAACGGGGGCCATAACCAAGACTGCATGCGGAAACATCGTGTCGATCTTGGTTACCGTCGATCTTGGTCAGCGTCACTTCGTGGATCCTCCTCGTGAATCGGTGACGGCCGCCATGGACCATGACCAAGATCGGCACCGACAAGGTCCGACAAAATCCCGCAACATCTTGGTCATGGTTTAGCACGGGGGGAACGCGTCCTGAGGGAAACAGGTTCTGGACCATGGAGCCTTCCCCCAGGACGAGTTTGTCATCCTGAGTTGTTCTCTGACAGTCCCCAGGCTCGTGAAGGCCCCGAGAGCCCCAAGACGGCGAAACGCCTCAGGGCCCGTTTCCCTCAGGACCCACCTCCCCCACGGCGAGATGGCCCTCGCCTGTCTTCCCTCGACGACCTCTGCCGGGCCAGGCCCGCTGCCGCGGGCCCGCTGTCGGCGGGGCCCGCCGGCAGCAGCGGGTGGCTGGCCGAGTGCGGCGGACGCGGCCAGGGCGCGCCAGCGGGCCAGGCCGCGGGGCCCGCCGCCGCCCGCTGGCCGCCGCCTGGGGGCAGCGGGCCCTGGCCTGCGGGGAGCGGCGGGGCGCCGTGGGCGGCGCGCCCCTGGCAGGAGGGCGCCAACTCCTCCTCCTCCTCCTCCTCCTCCTCCTCCCCCTCCTCCTCCTCCTGGTCCTCCTCCTCCTCATCCTCCTCCTCCCCTCCTCCTCCTCCTCCTCCTCCTCCTCCTCCTCCTCCTCCTCCTCCTCCTCCTCCGCCCAGAGCTCCGACGACCTGCTGCTCGCTAAATCCGGGCTCTTGTTTTCTCGATTGCGGCCTCTGGGGCTCTTGTTTTCTCGATTGCCCAGGACCATCAAAAATGGATCCAGAGCGAAAAACTACCCCCTGCAGGAAAGGGTTCGGGTAGGAGGGCACCTATATAAAGCACCCCCACCTCGCTGTACGACGGGAAGTTGTTAGCGACTTTCGGCCTCCAGAAGACCTCCTCAGGCTCGAAAAAACACCCCAAAACGACTCGGACTGAAAATGTGGTCCCGGGGAAGGGGTCCAGACCTCCTGGTGCGTTGACAAAATCACAGCGTCGAAGTTCTGAGTACTCCTGGGGCGAGGATCGATGTATACGCCCTTCTCTGCGCACGAATCGGCTACTCGCAAGAGTGATCCTAGGCAAGAGTGACCTTTCGTGCGACGCTTCAGGGGGCCGCGGGGAGGCCAAATCCAGGCTCGCCAGCCAGTGCTGAGGGGACCCCTGCGGGCCCGCACCATAGGTCACTCCAGCGAAGGGTCACTCTTACGCGTAACCGAACGAAGACATGCACTGATGTTTGGCCCCAGGGTCGGTCTAGCTGCACAGTTCGTGCCCTCCGACCTGGTCCGCCCGGCTCGGCGCCGCCGCTGGCCGGGGGGAGGGGAAGAGCACGCGCCCGCGCGGGGTGCTGTGCTGGCTGGCCGGGCGGTGCTAGCGGTGTCCCTGGTCTGAGGTGCCACCAGGATCTCTGCTCGCGAGGCCCAGAGGGCCCCAGGCCGCAGGTTCCAGGGGGTCCGAAATCAAAAGCTGGGGGCACCTTGGGCCAGGGACACCGCTGGCGACCCCCGAGCTGGAGGAGCGCGTGGTGGTCGCGGTCGGCGGCTTCTTGCCGAAGCGGGGGGCGGACGAGGAGGATGAGGCTGAGGCCGAGCCCGCGCTGGGGAGATCCTCGGCGGGGACGGGCGCGTAGTCGTGCCGGAAGCCCGCGGAGCTGGCGGAGCTGGCTGAGCTCGCGGTCAGGCC